GAATGAGTATTTTTTAAATAACTATGAATAGAAATAAGATATAGAAGTACGGTTTTCACTGTAGAAAAGAGGAATTGAAAACACATCGAATCCTATGTTGCAGATTTTTCTGATCTGTTTTTTGCAAGGTTTCCGCAATTGATCTTTTTAAAACGAGCTTATCTTGTAAGTTGTTTTCGGTGAATTTTAAAATATCAAGTATACATTCAAAGCAATAATCGAAGATCTACAAAGCGCAGTAATCTAAGATGAATAATATGTATTCTAGTCGAGTCTCTTATATGATTTTGTACCAAAAACTGTGAAAAAAATCACGTTTGCGCTTTTTCCTTTTTTTTCATACAAAAAAGTTTTTCAACTGTTAGAAAATTTAATAAAAATACTTCAGAAACCAATATTAGAAAAGCCTGGAATATACGATTTGATGCATCTACATCTCATCTTTCCAAAGGCAAAAGCCGTACTTCTCCATCATATTTCTATCAATAAATATTCATAGAACCGTGACACATCCAAAAAAAAAACAAGATCTTATCGAAATCTTATGATTATGATATTAGTTGAAGTATGATCAAATAGCGTAGAAAGATATAGCTTTTCTTTCTCTATCAGGTTATGTAGAGAGAGAGAGAGTTTCTTTAAGTCTATTATAAAGTGTTAAAATGTCACTGCGACTACTTTTGGTGTGTCCTAAGTATTTGAAAAAAATTCTGAATCAAAAGAAGAAAATTATTCTCAATTGTGCTATTGAAATCTAAGATATTTCTTCTTAGTTATTTATTAAAAATTATGAAAATAGATCGTTAAAAAATCCAAGAAATATCTAAAAAAAAAATTTTCTTTCTCCAAACTAAAATGAGGCGTTCATCATTTTAGAAGGGTTGTCATTGATGAGAACACATATCATGATGTCTTTCTCTTTTTAGCTTTCGTTAATCTCTATAGAATACTTCAATAGAATGGTACATCGATCTCGAATAACATAGAAGAGAGTAATTTCATGCTGTCACCGTTGTCAATAAGAAATATAATAAAAGTGCATATCAATTTCTAAAGATATACGTTCATTTACAGATATTCATTAGGCGTGAGTAACATGTCAACAACTTCATTGGTCTCAATACAAGTTGAGATGATGATTCGTATTCGATTATCAATTTATATTATTATTGATAATCTTGATGGTATTCTTGATCTTTTTTTGTATTTCTTCAAAAATCCATGAGAAATAACCCATGCATTATTTTTCTTATCGATTACATGATGAAAAATTTAGTACATTAATTTTACTCTACTTTCAGCTGTATTTAATGGTTATGGAATGGATCCATCGACTAGATGTAACTTTTTTCTTTCCGTCATATTATAGAATGTAAATTAGTTTTGTTTTCTTAGCTATTACATCATATCTTCTAATAATGACTTCTTTGGATCGAATGTTTGTTTCATCATCTAATGTACAAATTCGTCAAAGTAACAGATGTTTTGTTCTATTATTGATCATAGTAATTAGTCTTTTTTGGATTCTTTTTCGTTTGCATGCTATTTTCTTTTCTGAAATTCAAATTACATATGGTCTATGACTTAGATGTAATAGTCAATCAGATGTTCCTATAATATTTGTCTCTTATTATGCTCTTATTAATGCAATTATTCCAATTACACTAATGACTGGATTTAGAATTCAAACATTGCTAAACATAAAAGGTGTTCGTGGAAATTGTGCGCCTTCACAGGATCGATGTATTATTGCACTACTAATAGTTCAATTGGGTATATATATTTCTCTTTATCTACCAACATTGCGTACTATGTTATTTTATTTTGTCAATTTTTTCAAGTGAGCATATTACCACTGTTGAATTTAATTACAAACAGGTTTTTCATTGAACTAATGCGAGCTTTATACAAATTGTTTGGATTAATACAGAGAAGAAATCAAATAGATGCATTATTCAATCAGACAAGAAATATAAATATATTACAAATGCGAGAAACGATAGCACATTTGAACGACACAAATCCTATTAAAATAATACATCAACAAGTAAAGGAAGCTGACAGAATTAATTTTCAAAACCAGTTTCTATAAATTAGAACGATTAAATTTCCTATCAACAAAGATATTTTATTGAAAAAATTCGACCATCTTCAATGAAAGTTATGACATACGAAAAATTGAAAAATTTCTAATAGAATTGAAAACATTTGATGACGAGCTTATATGTACAAGATTATTGAATATAGATTTATCAATGTACCATTACCAGAATACATGATAAAATTAACATAAAATATTTACAGTTACTTTCAGAAAATACTTATCCCTTACATTTTGAGATGTTTTAGTGCAGAGTTGTATATTAGAATAAATATTTCTAAACTCTCTTGGAATTCTATCGTGGCCCATTTTTCCTAGAGAGATCTCCTGGGAGTCTTCACCCTCTTCTATTCAAATCTAGAAGTTGCAAATTGATCTCTTTCGATAGATATTTTAGGTTAAAACTAGCACACACACAAGAAAATAGAATATAATTCATAAATTTTAAAACGAAAATAACGAAGGTTTGAATATGAATATTTAAAAAAAATTCAGTAGCAGAAGGAAGATAGACTGTAACGTCACTCTAAATTAGACATAATGTCACGTATTTAAAAACAATAAAAAATTATCGCACGTAAATTCTTAAATAACACATTTATCATTTGTGTATAAATATTACGACAATACACATTACATATATATATATACCCGGCTGCGGCATAAAGATTGCAATATTTAATATTTTGAAAATATTTTATCACAGATCAATTGTACACTCATGATTCTTTTTTTAAAGGATGGGTCGTGATGAACTTTACAGAAACTATAAGAACACATCCATATTAACTTGTATTGATGGCATCTCTTTTATTCAAAATAAATAGGTGACATGATGGTATTATGTCCCATCGTATTAAATATTTAGAAGAGTTTTTTGTTTTTTAAGAGGTCATTGTTTTTACAGTTTTTGTAGTGTTTTTTACTACGCATCTTTTACCAACAAAATCGATGTTCTAGTATTTGCTTAACCCAAGATGCATACAAAATAAAAAATGACATCAACATTTTTGGACGCTCGGTAGGAACATCACACAGGTCTTTAATTTTAACGAACTAGAAGTATTCTGAGCAAGCCAATAGGGAATTGTCCATACAGCTGTTGTAGAGGTTTTGACGACGTATCGTCTGGAAAAAGTCAATGTGTTTTCATTTTCTTGAGATGAGATATTTGCAAATAAACTAAAATCTTCTAAATATTTAATAAGATGGAGACACCATCAGAACAAATCAATAGGGATTTTTTCACAGCACATCTTTTAAAAAAAGAATCAAGATTAAACGATTGATCTGCGAGAAAATCTTTACAAAATACTTAACGTTGCAATCTTTACGTCGCATCCGGAAATTGCACCGTGTTTATCTTAATTAATAGAGAAATCGAATGATTTAAAATAAAACTAATCTTCTTATTTTTCCTTCAAAATATATTTGATTTAGACAAATGTATTTATTAATTAATCGTCATTATTAATATATGATAGTAAAAAGTTAATTAAAATAGACGTCAGCTTCGAATGGATTTTTGAAATTATGTTCGCATAGCACCCTTTTAAGTGTTGCAAGCATCCACGAAGTAGCTTAGTTTAAACTCAAATATTTAATCTCTGCAATGAGAATTGTGCCAAACAAATTGACATTGAGCGAACATAATTTCACAAAATCCTTCGAATATGACGTCTAATTAAAGAGTTATTGATATTTTAGTGAACAGAATCACACCAATCAGAGAATGGACGCTGACATATATTTCATAATAAAGACTCATCTTTATCTTAAATTGTTTAAATAGAAAATATTTTTTTAGTTTTCTCACTTTTCTAAGCTACGTGAAAAAACATCAGTTTAGTGAAGATTCTACGCCAATCTTTCTATTATTATCTTCTAGAGGGTGTGGCTGTGCGAGAAGAAAAGACACACCCACACACTACTTAAAATGTGATTTAAGCTTATGGATAAAATGGATATCAAAGTTTTAAAACTTTCATTTTTCACATACAAGGATAAAATTTTTTCATTTTACGATAAAATCATTCTCACTGCGCACTGGTCCTTGATCAATTATGGTTTTGTTGTCAAGGATTAAGACGAAAAGGTAACAAATTATACCTTGTTCTATTGATGTTTATTGTTTTTTATTATATTATAAGAAAATGTGATATTTACTTTCTATCGAGATGAACATGGTCTTGTAACAATAAACTATTTGAAGGAAAATTTTAATGTAAGTTTATTCAATTTATATTCATTTTTAATTTTTCTTTTTATATATAGAGTAATGAAAATGGAATATATAAGTTGTTCGCCATTGAATACAAGAATTTCATCAATCAACAAGAGTATGTTAAAAAATCTTTTACCTTCTTTTCTGATTTATAAATGCTGTTTTTTTATAGTAATGATATTGAATGTTACATGTCTTAGTTTAAAAGATAAGAAATAAAGTTATTCGTATATTCGCTTAGATAGAAAATGAACAAGAACAGTAGCAACAACACAAGGTTCAATACAACAATTGATCAAACAAGAATAGATATTAACGTTTCCATCAACTGAAAAATGATAGTTTTCTTTTCAGATAGTTATCATTCCATAAAATAAATTATTTTGTCACATCACATATTGTTCAACGATGCTCAATCGACTTTTCTGTTTCTTTTGTTAGATATCCATGTTCTACATCTTTATTTTTTCCATTTTATTTTCAAGAATATCCACTAAGAGATGATCAATTTTTTATCTATAACAAAATATTTCCTTTGATATGCATCTTGAACTCTATATCCTTTTCATTCCAATGCCATAATTATATATAAATTAATCTGTTCTTAAACATTTTTTATTAAAACAAACATTCATCACAATCATAATATTTTTCATATGTTCAGAAATTCGACATTTACCAATTAAACATAACGAACGTACCTTTGAACAGTTTATTCGTGTTGTATTTCCTGTATAATGTTGTGTCACTCTTTTCAGTACTTGATAATTGACAGCAAATATAGAAACTATTTGATAAACAGGTTTTCGTATCAACAAGAAATTGTTCGATATAGTCATCCTGAGCTTCACTAAGATCAAGTTGAGATAGATGTGGATACTCAATGATGGATAAATGTTCATTGTTATCATGTAATTTTCTAGATGGTTTTTCATTAATTAAAGTTAATTTTTTCATAAATGGAAATGATTGAGAGATTTGAAAAAGAAATTTATGTTCAAAAGGTTGTTCATCAAATAACGATATTTCACGAACATATTTAAATATTCCACCTGGAAAATTATTTGTTATTTTGTGATACTCTTTCGGTTCATATGGACAAGAATAAATATAACATTCATCTCGTTCAATCTCAGAAAAATAATCAACACAAGAAATAATTTGTTTATTTTTTTGAAACTCATTGAATATATATTTAATATCTTCATTCGACAGTAAATTAATTTGATTATGAAGACTAACAGTTGAGCAAATGTTAAATGTAAATTTATTTAATTGTCGCATATGATTCATAATATTTCTTTTCAAATAATTGCCATCAATAAATGTATTATTGCAACAAATAATAAGATGTGAATGAAGTTTTTCTAAATTTAACATTCGATGTAAAAGTGCGGAACAATTAATTCATCATAAACAACTGTATCTGTATCACAATATAATGAAGAGCATTTCATGTTAGGTAAACTTTCCTAAAAAAACAAACACATAGAAGTTCACTTGAATAAATTAGATATTATTAAGAATAATCTACCGTATTATTGATTGTTAGACGTGAAGAACGACGAATCCAAGAACTTTTAACACGAAATACTCGAAGTTGATTAACACGTCCATCGAGTAAATAAAGACAATCATTGAAATGTACTACATGTACATGTTGTTCTAAAAGAGTTGAAGAGATAAAAATTGGAGGTGAAATATCAAATGATATGTATTGAGAATAAATTGAAGATGAATCGAAGTTTAAATACTGTAGATTGGTAAACACAGTAAAGATATTTGTAAATATAATTGTATTCTCATCTTTTGTTGAAGTTAATTGGTTTTTATTATTACAAATACGAATAATCAGTGATAAAATTTGATTTTTAAATAAATCACTTAAAACATTTCCATCTAAACATAGATACAAGAATCTTTAGCAACAAATTAATCATCTATATTTGATAGATTATTTGAAAAAAATCTTATTTCCGATATGAATTTTTAGTTTATATTTCAAAATAAATATTCAGATAAAACTAATTTATTATCAATAGAATATTCGATGATCTACTCAATTTTATTAAATTTATAATGAAATAAATAGTAGGAATTTTTTCTATACTTCTCATTTGTTCAGAAATCAATGACAATTAAAATAAAAAATATCTTACTAGTAAACAAATGTTTTGCTCTTTCTATTTCAAGATTATATAAACCAAGTTAATATAAATTAGGATAATCTGTACAAAAAAGAACACGTTCCATAGATAATGATTCAACATTGAGCCATTGGATTTTATGATGAATCGATGGTAACATTTGAAAAATAAAATCGATCAAGTATAGTATCAGATAATGGATAGATAGAATCATTGAAGGAACGCCTCATCAATGTTAAATGACTTGTAAATACTGAATCATGTACAAATGTGTTGAGCCATTTATTAACACCTATTAAAGAATAGAGTACTTGATCATTGTTCAAATTTTTCAAAATAATCGTAAGCAGTTCATCAGGTAAATCATCTAATTGAGCCAATGAGTGTTTTATAATTATTTTCACCTCTGTATACTCATTTATAACTTTGACATGTAACCATTTATATACAGACATTCATATCATCTGTAGGACGTTAATCATCAATGAAGACAATGATATGCATTTTTCTATAATTATCTAGCTTGACTATGGGTGAGCGAACGAATGAAAAAATAATATTATTTTTGTTTCTCTTTTGTTCGACTTATTACATATGACACATATTGACTAAATTTTTTCATTTATATCTAACAGAAATGATTTATTGAAAGTTAAAAATTATTTTATCTAAGCAAAATGATATTTGAAAAGATTATTCACATCAATTTTGTATGTTTTTAACTCGGATTAATTGTTCTTCTTACAATTATGAAGAATAAAAGTTAGATGAATAATTGTTCTTGAATGAAATATATGAAGGTATATATATTCATTTTTTTCAAATATCTGCAACAATCATTACAGTTGGTAAACTGGAAGTTTATAAGATGAAATGATTGAATATGTCAGTTGTTTTCTTTATAATCCACGAAAACCGTATTCAGATTATTTTTGATGACGATGAACAATTATGTATGCATATGCTGAAAACTTCCATTCAGAATTATTTAACAGCAAATGTAAAACAAGATGATCGTGTATTTTGTCTCAATAATGAATGCAATGGTTTAATTCAATTTAAGTGTAACTATCAAGCTTGTTTGATCTGTGGTCGACATGTCGATCCTAAAGATCAAGTTATTGATGATGAATTTCATGTAGGACGAACTTGTGTTCAACAGATTGAAGAACAACAATGTCGAGAATTCTTACCTCAATTTTTTGAAGGAACTAAAAAATTTATTCGAAAACATTGACCAACAGATTCTGTAATGGTGCGAATCAGCAGAATCGATGTAAATCCTTATCTTGAAAAACAACATAAATCGCTAAAACTGTTTTATAAATGCATTAAAGTATAGGGTGATGATTTTCCATCAAATTCGGCAAAAGATATCTTTGCTTATCACGGTAATCCTCTGAAGCGTTGATACCGATTTTTCAGAATAGATTTGATCCAAAACGCGTCTTTCGGATCAAGTTTATGATCCCGGTGAATATTTTTGAGTGACAGCAAATGTTTCTTATAGTTCTTCTCAAAGGGAAAGTAACCAATTCAGTATAGTCAAATGATCATTGCTTATCTTTTACGAGATACACATTTTAAGAACTGTTCAAAATTTTTGCTACATTATCACTAATCCAACAGATTGAAAATATATTTTTAATTTACCAGTACTCATTGTTACATATGGACAAAAAGTGCATAGTCAACTATTTACTTTTCTCAAGTACAACACCCAACTATATTGATGATGAATTTTCAGGGAATGTCTCGTTTGAATGGTATTGGCGTCAAGATAATGGTCATTTCGAACCTATAATGAGACAGTTAATGAAATGCTCGAAAAATGTGATGAACAATGGAAACACTACCACTGACTCGTTACTTACATGTTATTCTTCAAACGTATAGAATCTACTATCAAAATAATAAACAAACCCATACGAAAACATCTTATACTCGAGTTATTGGTCGTCGACCAATGGAAAAATTTTTTGAAAATCAGAATTGATTTTGTCATAACGAACATGGCCTTTGGATGCATTATAAATCATTGGTGCAGAAGTCGATTGACAGTGCATTTCGCCTATACAGGTCTGGATAAGGGATCATCGATCATTGGCATTCATTTCCTTGGACATCCTGAGACGTATGAAATTAAATTTTTGAGAGACCAACAAACAAAATAATTAATGCGATCAGAAATATAAAATGCGAATAAGAACTCTTGATGGAGGAAATAGACATCGTTTTCTTTCATCGAACATTATAACCAAATAGAGGAAATAAAGCTAATTAAAACTTCAACTGAATCTAAAATATTATGAACGTTTATTTCTTCTTTTATCTTTTGGTTCGATAATTGATATTTGATAGTGTGAATCTAGAACATACAGTACAAAAACATTCCATTCACAGCTAAAACCATTTTGAATACTAGTAAATTCCTTGAGCACTTTGCTTTTCCTTGAGATATTTATTGGGGGAAAATACAACTTTTCATGCTGGTAACTGTATATATGCTCATTCTAGTAAGATTTTGTAAAACAGATTTCAGCGATCAGTAGAGCATATAGTAGATTAAACATCTTGTAAAGAAAACGTGTTGAGACAAATAAGAAGATTATACACATTGTCATTTATATCTAATCGTTAATTTTTTGTCTAACTTTTCCTCTGATCAGTATTAGTTCTTATCTACAGGGTGTGACTCTTAGTATTGTTTCCATTCAAATCCATTCCCACACCCACACCTTTTGCTAAACATCATAAACGAAAAGGACGTTTGATGGTCATTGATTTTTGTTAATGCTGGAAATATTGAGGCTTTTTTTTTGAATATCTACATGAACATAATCACATAGTTACTCATAAACATGATGAGATCTTCTATAGATATCCTTTTTATTGAATTTTTCATTTAATTTTAAAAGGTTTGTTTTAACTGAACGAATGATTGATATGTTTAAAACAGCAGATTTACAAAATTCTCAAGTTGAGATATTATAAATTACTTTTTTTTTGTTCTTATTAAAAATAATCATTTTTATTTTCTTTAGGATATTTTCACAATGACTGTGTCTGAAATGAAGAATTATCAAGGTCATAAATACTTTATCAAATTAATAGATAGCTATGTTGATTTTAAATTCTATTATTTTATTGCTTTAGGACTTCGGAAATTCTGTAATCAGCTAGGCGAAGAGAGAAGTTTCCAAAAATAATACGTTGGATCATGCGAGGGAGGAAAGGAACTACAGCTCATTGAGTTAGTTTTGAGCAAAGTCTGACTTATATGTGAGTATCAGAATACAATTAATTGATCAAAAGTATCGCACATTTTTGGAGCGGTCAGAAGACTCAGACTAAAAGATTTCGTTGAACTTGTGAGTGCATAGATTGATTACGCAATATTTTCGAATAGAATTGCAATAGTCTGTTAATATAAACAGAAGTAATATGAATTTTACATTTGAAAGAGAATCTACTTTATTCGAGGAGGAATAGCATAGATTTAGGTTTTGGAGTCCTTTGAAATTTTTGAAGACTGCTGTGTTCTTCGGGAATCCCGAATTTCGCCATTGAGACTTTTGCCAATTGGCGAGTCTAATGTGCATTTACCAGTTTAACATGTATATTAATAGACAGCATCGAGATATATTCTGATACCCACCCTTTTCACTCATATTCAACATTTATATTCTTCTGCGACAAATGGTAAAAGTTCGTCGAACTTTTCAATTAGCAAGAGTCCACTGGACTTTCGCTATTGGCGAATGTCCAGTTGGCGAAACTCGGATAAGTCTGTTCTTCATGTTTTCGAATCCTGACAATGTGTTTAATCTCAACAATTCAATAATGAAAATTTCTCAATATAGATTTAAAACTTTCGTATTTATCTGATGATCTAACGGTTTCAATTCTGTGTGATATTTTGGGAAGCGCCGAACTTTAATAAGAATCTAAAATGATCTAAAGCTTGATCATATGATTTTCAGATAGCTTCTTATGGTGATAAAGCGTAATATTATGAATATTTTTAACTGTTTATTTCTTAAAAGACAATGATTTATCAATTAAATTGCCTAGGGTATGGAGTGTGGGTATGCGGGACCTAGGTACCAGTGGGAAGAGAATCAACATCCACAACCACACTTCTCCATCGACATAGTATTTTTCTCGACAAGGTCATTGATGCATTTTATTCAATGATACTGACGAAGACAAATAAACAATGAGCATAAATATATATATATGTATCATAAAAGAAAAAAAGAGTGACAATCAGAATATGAATCAGTGCAAGATTAATCTTCTTGATCTACCTACTGAAGTTTTACTTAGTATTTTAAAAAAACTTAATAATATGGATATATTTTATTCATTTTTTGATCTTAATAATAAATGACTTGATAACATAATACAAGAAAATACTTTTACTAATGATCTTAATTTTGTAACCATAACATTAACTGATGATGTTTTATCAGTATCTGATCGAATACTTCATCGATTTTGCATGAATATATTGCCAAAAATTTATTATAATGCTTAATCTCTTATTCTTAATTTATTATCTATAGAACATATTCTTTCTGCTGCTGATCAACTTAATTTAAGTAAACTTAAAGTCTTCAATCTCAATGATGAAATTGCTTTACTTTATTTTACGAGTAAATAACTTCTATACTAATCTGAATAAAGATTTAAATAAATAATAGTTTTGTATAGATAAACTAATATGTATTTTTTATTTAGCTAAATTATCATTTCGACGTATTTTTCAAGAACAAATTACAGATCCTATTCTTCTTTCTGAAAATTATTTTAATGAAATATCCTGTAAAAACTATACAGCAGATGTGTACGAATATATATTGAAATTTTTCGAAAATCTTAAACATTTATCTCTTATTGTATTGTTTCCAAAGTCTTTTCCACCTTTATTACTTCGTAATTTACCATTAACTAGTACTTTCCATTCTTCAACTCTTTACAAATTATGTATTTATGTAATATATTATGATGATTTCTTTGCTTTAGTTGACGGGTCGTCTTATAATGCAACAAATGTTTGCAATATGGTAAGTTTAAATTTTATTCGATTATTCTTTTGAATTTAACAAAAAAACAAAATACTATGGATCATGATTATAAATTATTTTCATATTATTATTGAAAGATTTTTTTTAAATTTCTTTTGGATCAACTATTATTAAATGGTGAGAGAGAAAGCAAGCGACGAGGTTTGGAGAAGGAGCGAGGAAGAATACTCAGAACTTTTAAAAGATTGAGAATAACTTTCTCCCATTTTTGAGAAACTTCGAACATACTTGACTTCCCCTTAGGTTTTTCAAAAATTGAACATGAATTCCTTTATTTTGGAGAAATTTCTCACAAATTTTACCATCCCTCCCTTGCAAAGGATGTTCCAAGTGTTTTAGTCGGGGTAATCCCTTCAATCTTGACAAAATTTTGCATTTTTTCTCAGTAATTTATAAAAAAATTTTAAGAAAATTTAAAAGACTTTCGAAAACATCATCACCCTTCCAATCTTTTCGTCTTCAAGTCACCTCAGCTATTCTCCCTCCACCAGTTTTAAAAAACTGAAGATAAGTTTCAAATTTCTCAGAAATTTCGGAGGTGGACCTCTCGTTTTTTTTCACGTCCTATTTCATTTTTGTAAATAGATTTCTTGTTTGAGCTCTTTGCGTCGTCTCTGTTTTTGATTTTAAACAAACATCACTGATATGTTTG